CAAAATTTCGTTCGTTACCGTTTGTGTTTGTTTGGTTAAATTAAATAAACGAGTTTGTGTTCATTCAGTTGATTTACAGACCTGGTTCCGTTACTTTGAAGAGCATTCTTATAAGCTTTCATCCATTTCATATTGAACATTATTTGCAGAAGAAAACTTGGGATTAACAAGCATTTTGGTGGTTAAATATCATCATTCCAGTCTAGGTATTTTTCTTGCTATCATAGACTCCATTGCTGTGATTCAACTTTATAGAAGGAAACTAACAAAGCATTTTGGTGGTGAAAGTTGAAGAATCTCTATATCATTCCAGTCCAGGTATCTTTCTTGCTTACATTTCATTGCTGTGATTCAAAGTGATGCAAATCTTATAAGAAATCACAAGAAAACTTAACACATGTTTGCTTGTTGCTACTTGCTAAAGAGCGTATCTTGTCCGTCTAGTCTTCAACTCAACTCAACAAGATATTCTTCTTGCTTCCATCTTTAATGCTAGAAAGCTTTTTGGTGTTTTAATATTTATCAAAAGCTGATCAAATCCTTCAAAAATCAAAAGCTATTGTGAGCACTGAGCGAACCAGTCTTGAACTGAGTAGCTAGAGAAACAGAACCGGCGGTGTAGCTGTCGCCGGTGGAAGATGAGAGAGAGTAATGGCTGTTGGTCGGAGTTGAACAGTCGCCGCCGGTGCTTTATCAATAGATTTTTGATTCAGGTGGGAGTCGTCGGTGCTATTGTGAGAGATAGGAGGATTTAGGGGTTGTGAAAAAGAAAGGGGGGAAATGATTCTTTTAGGTGAGGGTATATATTTGGGGGCAGATTATTTTCCCTAGATCCACGTGTGTTTTTTATTTGCCTAAAACTAAAACTTGCATTCTTATTTTTTTTCTTTTTCGTTTTTGAAGAAACTAAAACAATTTTAATTACTTGACAAGATATTGTTACTGTGTTTTATTTTTATCAATTTTTTTAATTACATATATGCTGAAACTTAACAGTAAAAGAAAGATTGTTGGCAAGAGTCGATATATACTAATCGACTAAGATTGTCGATCTTTGCATTTTTTTTGTCCGTTAAAATTCTTAAGATTGTAGGTCTTTGCATTGCTTTTTGCTGGGTGAAATTAATAAGATTGTCGGTCTTTGCATAGTTTTTTGTCGGGTAAAATTCTTAAGATTGTGGGTCTTTGCATTGCTTTTTGTCATCCCATTTTGAAGTGTTTGTAGATATTGTTCTGCTGGCATCTTATTGAGATATAGATCACTACACCACATTTATACATATATAATCCACTTCGTTTCTATTGATCTAATCTTTTAGAAATATATGAACAATCAAATTTTAGCTTTGAAACCTCTTAGAGCTGGATGATTTAGGGGCCGTTTACCAAATATTTACCCTGTAAGCACTTACCGATAAAATTTTAACACTATTATTTACTTACCGGGTAAGATTTTAGTCCACCAAAATGGTATTGTATGTAACAATTTACCCGGTAAACACTTACCACAGAGTAAAATTTTTGGTCCTTACCATTTTCATCCAGTAAAGTAATGTGACTTGGTTTTCACTTACCCGAGTAAGCGTTTGGTATGACACAGTTGCTATACATCCCATTTTTGTCTAGCTTTTTCTGTGTTTAGACCAAGAGATTTCGGGGGAACAAGTTGAGAAAGAAATGTTTAATATGTGGCTTGTATCACTTTGTTCGTTTGGGTTCATCCTTCGATTCCGGACAACATACAACTCATCCTCATTCGATTGATGTAGTTAAGTTTGATGAAACAAGTTAGCCGACTCTTCTACATTTTTTGGACTTGTATAGTTCAGGAGATGGGTGTAAGCAATTTCGTATTTCATTTACTTTGACGATCTCATGATTATTATGGCTTTGAGTCATGCATTTTTACAAGTCTTAACAGAAAACAATAATTTATGTGTTAATATACAGACAACCATATCAATACAGACAGCTATATCCATACAGGTCTTAACAGAACAACCCTCTTGGCCAAAATAGTAATGAAACCAGGTCTGTAAATCAACCGAACACGAACTTGTACATTTAATTTAACGAAACAAACAAACATAAACGGTAAATGAACGAAATTTTTTGTGTTCATGTTTGTTCGTTAAACTTTTTTGTATTCATGCTCCTTCATATATATATATATATATATATATATATATATCTCAATTAGTTTTTTCAAATTTATATTTTATTCAAACATAAAAAACATTAATGTTTTCTTAAAACCGTATTATAAAATGTATCATATCAATACACTTCTTATCTGAAAAAAATGATGGATTTGGGGAATCTTGGAAGAAACATTAAAGTTGAAGGTTATTTGGTATAAATGTGAAATATGCAACAGGATTGAAAATGCTCCCACCACTCTTAGCCAGCCAGCATGCCTGCCAGAAGAAGGTGGTATTGAAGAGCATTCCTCCAATAGTACTTAACATTGTTTCATCCCTTATAAGCATTCCTCCAGTAGTACTGAACATTGTTTCATCCCTTATAAGCATTCCAGTAGTATTGAAGAGCATTCTTACAAGCTTTCATCCATTTCATATTATTTGCAGAAGGAAACTTGGGATTAACAAGCATTTTGGTGGTTAAATATCATCATTCCAGTCCAGGTATTTTTCTTGCTTCCATAGACTTCATTGCTGTGATTCAACGTTATTTGTAGAAGGAAACTAACAAAGCATTTTGGTGGTGAAAGTTGAAGACTCTCTATATCATTCCGGTCCAGGTATCTTTCTCGCTTACATTTCATTGCTGTGATTCAAAGTGATGCAAATCTTATAAGAAATCACAAGAAAACTTAACACATGTTTGTTTGTTGCTACTTGCTAGAGAGCTTATCCTGTCCGTCTGGTCTTCAATTCAACCCAACAAGGTATTCTTCTTGCTTCATCTTTAATGCTAGAAAGCTTTTTGGTGTTTAATATTTATCACAAGCTGATCAAATCCTTCAAAAATCAAAAGCTATTGTGAGCACCGAGCGAACCAGTCTTGGACTTAGTAGCTAGAGAAATAGAACCGGCGATGTAGTCGTCGCCGGTTAAAGATGAGAGAGAGAATAATGATTGTTGGTCGGAGTTGAACAGTCGCCTGTGCTTATCAATCGATTTTTTCGTTTTTAAGAAACTAAAACCAATTTTAATTACTTGACAAGATATTATTACTATGTTTTATTTTTATCAATTTTTTTAATTACATATATGCTGAAACTTAACTGTAAAAGGAAGATTGTTGGCAAGAGTCGATAAATATATATACTAATCGACTAAGATTGTGGGTCTTTGTATTGTTTTTTGTAGGGTAAAATTCTTAAGATTGTGGGTCTTTACATTGCTTTTTGCCGGGTGAAATTATTAAGATTGTCGGTCTTTGCATTGTTTTTTGTCGGGTAAAATTCTTAAGATTGTGGGTCTTTGCATTGCTTTTTGCCGAGTGACATTATTAAGATTGTCGGTCTTTGCATTGTTTTTTTCCGGGTGAAATTCTTAAGATTGTCGGTCTTTGCATTGTTTTTTGCCGGGTGAAATTCTCAATCTTTGCATTGCTTTTTGCCGGGTGTAATTCTTAAGATTGTCGATCTTTGCATTGTTTTT